GAACTTGACCTCAACGGTTACTCGTGCTTCCGATGCTACAGACTAAAGAATGCCCACGGTGGCGTCATGCTCTACATACGGTCTTCCCTGCTTGGGAGATTTGTGAGCACCTACCGAAGTGAGGATTGTCTGTGTGAGCTACTGTGGTGCTCTATCCACATCAGGTGCAGAGAACTAGTTGTGAGCGCAGTCTATCGCAGCCCCCTGAGTCACTGTTTGGATTGGTTGCCCCATCTTCAAACCCACATGAGCCGTCCACATTTTCTACTTATGGGTGATTTTAACTGTCCTTGAATACGATGGCTTGATGTGCGTTTGATGCCTGGATATTGTGAGGTCGAAGCAAAGTTCGTAGATGTGGTACTCGAAACAGGTGCATCGCAACACATAGGCCAGCCAACATGCATAACACCACGCTCAACCCCGTGCTGTCTCGACCTGATGTTAACGAGCTACGAAAAACGAGTGCGTGACGCTCGGACTCCAGAGCCCCTGACTACAAGTGGTCACACAGTGCTCATAGCTGATATGGAATTACCTTTACCAGCTTGCAAGTACTGGAAAACGGACTTCGACGGTCTAGTTTGAGCTACGATCCAACGAGACTGGTCTCCGTCACAAGCTGCATCTGTGGAGAATTATTAGAACTGTATAAAAGGGAGATTGATGTCATTGTGTTCTCAATTCGTGCTCTTGAAGTGTCGGAAGGTTGGACCGATTAAGTCACATTGGTTTGACAAGGAGTATAGAAACCTGGATCGCAGGCGGCGCAGACTGTGGAACAGATTCTTCATCGCTGGCTCAGCCAATGATTACGAAAAGCATAGGTCAGCGGAACGTGTAACAGTGCAAAAAGGAATAAGCACCGAAGAGCAGTTAGCAATCGCCGTGAAGACCGCCCCAAAGAAAATCCTAGCTTATGTGAAGCGACGCTTGAAGCCGGCAGATGATGTGCCATTGCTGGATGGCCCAGACAGACAACCCATAATATGCAGCAATGAGCGCGCGTCTGTGTTGGCAGCGCATTTGGCTTCTGTATTTGCAAATGACCAGGTGTCTGTACCGAGTTCGACGTGTACCGCTTTCACCGAACTCAACAGTCTGGATTGATGCGTTGAAGAAGCATGTCAACTACACGCCAGCCTTGACTGTACCAAACCTGCTGGGCTCCACCTACTGATTCTCAAGTCATTTTCAGCAATCATCTCTTCTGCAGTGACGGACTTTTTCAACAAACCGGTATCCGAAAGTTCGTTGTCTATTGACTGGAAATGCTTGGTGGTGAAACTTATTTTAAAAGCCGGCGACCATAGCAAAGTAGATAACCATAGGCCAGTTTGTCTGACACCTATTTTGCCAAAAGTTGCTGAGAAAATCGTAAAAAATGGATTGCCGCAGTTGCTACAGTTAAAAGAGGTCCTGACGCCCGTAAAGTACGGTTTTATTCAAGGCCGCTCATGCATTACAAACTTGCTTTTAACGAGGAATGAGTGGTTACAAGTAATAAGTAAGGGAAAGTCTATCGACGTGATATTCGTCGATTTCAGTCAAGTGTTCGATAAGCTCAGCCATGAGGTTCAATTTCACAAACTCAGGATGTGTAGTGTCGGTGCCTCACTGCACCAGTGGATTCGTGATTTTCTTGTTAGACGAATATGGACGATACAGGTCGATGACCATCTAACTGACTGATATCGCTCTACAAGTGGTGTACCTCAAGGCACTGTGCTGGGGCCCACTCTGTTCCTGATCCACATCAACAATCTACCTCAGCTACTCCGGTCGCCGTGTGCCTTTTTTGTGAACGACACGAAGATTTTGAGAAAAATTAACGCTTTCAAGGACTGTATCCTACTTCAGCAAGACCTCAAATGGTCTGCAGAAGTTCATCTCCGGATCAACCCAGCTAAGTCTGTACTTATGAGCCTGAGGAAGGGTGTCGACGGCCGAACCTACACCCCAGACGGCCGAACGCTATATCCCACACCCTCCGTAAAGGACCTAGGTGTACTCACGCGCTACGATTTGAATTCCGTGGACAACACAAACAGGCTATATCGTAACGGACTGCATAGGTTTTGTGGGCTCAAACATAGCTTCGGCACATGGTCTGAAGAAGTTGCCACTCGCCTCTTCTCTTCCATCATTAGACCAGTGCTAGAGTACGGTTCGCCCGCCTACTTTCCGATTACCCGAGGCGAGGTACAAAAGATCGAACGGGTCCAACACGTTGCTACCATGCTTATCCCGAGTTCACATGGCTTGCGGTATGAAGACCGGTGCGAGAGACTAGGACTCTACCTCTTGTCCTACCGCAGGGTGCGAGTCGACCTCATTATGACCTACCGTATTCTACATCTCGGTGACTTCTCCATGCTGATGCCAATGTTGCATTTACGAGAGCCATGCAGCACACGCGGACCCAGATACAAACTTGTCGTGCCGGATGTGAAGCGTGTTCCCCACCCACTGCGCTTCGAACGGAGAGTGGTAAATATTTGGAACAGTTTGCCTGAACACGTGATGGAGGCAACATCTGTGCAGCAGTTCAAAACGTTGTTAGATTTATATTTTACCACTATTCGATTCAGAGAACGATTGCACACTTACAACGATATATCATATTTTTGAGTCCCGCAATACTGTGAGTCAAAGATTTAAATGTTACGTGAGAACGCTAACGATATTCACGGCTGACAATTTCTATAACATTTTCACCATATTTTTAAGAGTTGTACAGAATTGATTTCTACTTGCTCCACAATACAGTATTCAGTACTCCGAGAGTTTTGAAACCAATTTTTGTTAATGTGAGTGATTATGCCTCCTTCACAATGTTTGGGGTCTCCTAGGCGATCGAATCGAATGTGATGGTATGCATCGAGATTAAGGACTTCATCCTCAATGTCAGAATACAATCAATATTTTTGCGGCATCACTATACCTGTATTTATGAATCCCCTTCACTCTAACATGTTTGCTAGACCATCAACTTTCGAGAGAAGCGATCGTACATTGCTGGATATCATCAGCGAAATCTGAGCCTTTCTAACGGGACACTACTTGAGTCCTACTTGCCAGCCAGCAAGATGCTTTTTATTTTTTCCTAAGCCTTTCTTGCTAATTCTTCTGAAACTGTTTCTGGTCTTGTGTCCAAATTCAACAGGAGGAGATTTTTGTGCATTGTTTTAAAGGGAAATCCAATCCCAACCGAGTATGATAACATTGGCAACGATAACATTGTTTGTAAAACGATGGGTAAAATAATTCCTGTAAACACAAAGAATCCGCAGTGAATAGTGTAAAATAATATTCCGATGGTGAAAGCAACGGCAGAATTTGAAGGCCCCGCCAGTTTGATTAAGAGAAAGAGACTAGGAGCTTGACTAAGTTACTAGTTCGTCTAACCCTGGTTGAAGTGTCAGAGTACTCGATGATTGGGGTTATGCAACCCAGAACGGAATCATCAGCATAGCTACAGCCAAAGAAGTTTGATATAAAATTCAACTCTAGCCCAGAACGTTTCTCGATTGGCCTCCGAAAACCACACTTATATATTGCAGCTGTGCGTACAAAAGCAATTCGTATGCTCGCAACTTCTACCGTGCCCAATAAATTGCATTACTTGACCATCTGATCGTGATCTTACCATTTGATCGTTGTGAAGGATGTATCCAGACCCCCTTCGTCCCACTTAATCTCCTACATACAACATCAAGGTGATCTACTGATTCCACTGCTGAATATCAACACTGTAAACAACACTCAGCCCAACTCGGCATGAAATACTTATGATTACATTTGAGTCCGATGAGAGTTGGCGAAAAGGACTCAATGCTCTGCAGCCGCCCCTTACTTTTATTTTTTAAACACATATAGAGTAGAGCGGGGTAAGATACCCACTGAGAGTAAGAAGCCCAGCCATATATATTTCCATTGCGATTCATATTCCACTCCAGGTAGCAGCCTCGACAGTTTCATATTCGCCTCCCCGGATTCAGACATAAAAAGCAGCTACCAAATGCCCTTCTTACTGGCAAATTGACTCATTGACAGCTACTAGGTACTTTTTCACCTAATTTTTCGCATGGCAATTAAGCGTATAAGAATCTGAAGGGGTGTGAGAAGTAATATTTTATTATATTTTACAAAGGTGCATTCAATTATGGACAGCATGAGCTCTTGTGTCATGCGCTACTAGCATATAGCAGGCAATAGATGTAACTATTTTGAGTTGTATCCATTGCGAATAAGATGCGCATGGGCGCGTAGATGCGAGAATGCTACTTGTTTAGTACCTGCATCGGTCAAACGCGTCATCGCTTCATGTAAAATGCACGAAAATGTCTCCATCATGAATGACATGCTAGTAGATCCCGCCGCAGACGAAGCTACTCAAGCACGTGGAGCAAATATCGCACTAACGAAACTATCCAAAAGTGCTGGTGGAAACATTCTGCGCGAATCGCCAGCTGCGCTAAACGATCGAAGTTACCGCGCGAGAAAACACCAAGCCCACTAGTCGGCAGCGCGTCATCCACGCTTGCACTCAGTGTGAAGCATTGTCGAAGTTGACAGTGTAGGAACAAGCGGTTTAGTTAGCAGAGGCAGAGTAGTGAAAAACAGCACAGCTGACCCGTGAATTGTTTCGAAATAAAACACTGGTCCGCTTCCATTAATAAAGACATTTTCGGCCCATTAGATTTCGCTGACTGGGCCAAACAAACAACGGGGAAAACCCACGGCACCGTCGCCAAGCGTCAGCGGAGGCGTACAGATGGATGACTACGCCTGCAACGTCCAATGAATGAATGCGTCGTTAGATTTCAGTTGGTTCTCTAGGCCATCAGTTCACCCCGACTGGGTACCCCACCAGCACTATAACACGGAGAGTCGAAAGCACACCACCAAAAAAATCCGAGGCCGCAGCAAATGGCGATCGATGGGGCCCAAACCCGTGACGCTTCCATGCGCGTACTTTGAAGATACAACAAGTGAATAGAACAAAAAGGTGTAAACGTTGAAAACAGGTGAAAAAGCCCAACCGGAAACAGTCCACTCGAGTCAAACCAGTGATGCTTAAGTAAACAGAAAAAGGTATTCTAAAAGTTAGACAAGGAGTGAGTCGCCTTCTACGAAACATCAAATCAGTGAATTTGCTGTGACCCAGTTAAATGTCCACGCGTTACACTAACGAGAGGCAACGCTTAATTGGAGGAAGTATCACAAGGAAGAACGCTTGCATAAGAAAAGCGAGCAGGGCTCGATTGTAAGCAGGTGTCCGCGGAATCCTTCATGTAAACAGTGTGCATTCTCGAAGTTGTGCTACACAAAATCAGGCGTATTACAGTTGCACGCAGAATAGTGAAGGGCTGAACACAGTACATGCTCCTACAGGACTGTCGCAAAGCAGGAAAACATACGATTGTGGTGGACAGCAAAACTGGTGTGTGTTGCTAAAAGCCAAGTGGGAGGCAGATGCGGCCACCTGAAAACTGACGCTAAAATAAGGAGCGATTGAGGAGTTATGATCAGGAATGAGAATTAGACGGTCATGAACAACAGAGGCTTTGGTAGTCTGCAATGTGAAGGAAAAAAACATTCAAAGGATGACCTCATTTTAAGGACAATTGCCCGTTATACCTTGTCGCTCATGCACATGAAGGAGCCGGGGTCGTCAGACTATGAAATCAAGGAAAAGCGAAGGGAGAATGACGGCGTGTTGCAATTGGCAAGGATGAAGAAAAACGCGCGATCTAGTACATAACAGAGGAAATAAACTTGAAAGTTAGAGAGTAGCAGCAGAAAAATATGTCGGAAACACAGCAGTAATAGACCCCATGCGGAGGCCACCGACAGAGGCAATTCACTGAGATGGATGCATTACGATGCGCGCGCCAATTCACCGCCGACCTGATAGGTGATAATTTTGTTCCAGTCAATTTTGGATCGGGTTAAGGGAAGCTGTCGACGCAAAGCTTTAAATGTGGTATCTGACATCGTTTTAAAGTTCTCCCCGACGGCCATCTGAGAGGTAAAAGAAACAATATGTTCAAAAGGAGTAATATAATTAATGTCAATCTTTCAAGTTTAGCGTTACGATGCGGTATATCTAATTAGAAATAACAGCAAACATGCTAGGAGCGCACATGGTGATGTGTCCATCATAAACCACAGCAGCACAGTAATTTGAACTGTTGATTCGACGCTGTGCAACCATAATCGCAGGGGGAATGAGGAACAATAAAGCGAGCCCTAGTGTGAAACCTAAATATTCTAAGCAAACATCCGGGGGAAATGTGCAGTCAGCTAGTCAATAACCTAAGGCCAACAACAGCTGGCTATCGTGCAGAGATACAGCAGCATTGTCGAGACAGCTTCCTTGGGGCTTTCACTAACTTGCATCGCAATCAGGCATTACTCCGTAGATAAGTCAACACTACACCATTTCCCGGCCAAGTTGTCCTCTTAGGCAACAGAAATAATCTGAGAGGGCATTCAACATGAGTCTACTCAGTTAATTTGTTCCGTGCGTAGGAGCCGAAGCGTCCCACCTGTACCCCTATGACTTAGTGCGTCTGAGGTCCAATTGGTTGAAGGCGACAGGCTATACACGCACACCTACACACTTGCACAAGTGACTGGCGTACGCACGGAACAAATTAATTGAGTAGACTCATGTTGAATGCCCCCTCAGATTATTTCTGTTGCCCAAGAGGACAACTTAGCCCGGAAATGGTATAGATACAAATTAAACAGGCATTCTAAACAGGAAACAACAGCAGACGCCTCATTGATGCTGACGTCTCGAGCGAAGCACAAGACGGGTCACGTGGAGTTCCACCTAGATGGTGAGACGGAACAACAGCACCCAGTTTGATCGTCAGTGAACGCGTTTCCTGTCGCCAAGTCTACTTTGAGCCGCACTATATCCAACATACAAAACAAGCTGCTCCTCGGTAAGCGATGAGTGGGCATATGTAGTACGTGCTCCAAACAAGCCATCGACATTAGACTGGAGGTTAATGTGGTGCGATGGTTTGCGTGCCTCAAAGGTGCAATGAGTTACTATTATAGTGTCTGACACTGCTAACTGCAACCCAAGTAGAACGCGAGCAAAACATACCGCGCGAGGAAGAGTGGTCGTCATGAAAACGGGCATGCGTGAGTGAACAGATCACAACAAAAGCGTAACAAGTCAACGACGTGAAAGAACAGAGGCAACAGTTGGCGAAAGTGTCCGGCATGCATGAGTCCTTCTAACACCTTTCTACCCTTAAGATGAACTGAATGGCACGCCACATTTGATTCGTACGCCTTACGTATTGGGTTAACCACGAGTCTCTGCACTGAGACTTTGATTCGCGCTGAGTATCTTCGCCCAGTTGTCACAGTTTCTGTTCCCATGGTAAACTTTAATGGTGGTAATTGGATATGTATCCAGCAAGACATCTAACTGTGATGAAACTTCCTATTTTTGAAGCGGGAGTTGCACTTCCAAACGGGGGCTAATATGGTTTACATGTCAAGTCCATATGATATGGATCCATTCGTATTCCGTACAAAACACTTCTAAAACGGCCAAGAGTCCAGGTTTATCTTTCATCACGAAAATTTGTTACGTACACGCTATCACCAGGAGTGAAATGACGGCAGCATGCCCCATGGTGTCGATTAAATGCTAACTCCTTTTAAATATTTCGTTCTGCCTTGTGTAGCGATGCTTTCAAAGCATCAAGGACCGTTCTGACACGACTAACGAGAAACGCATAGGATAGATATCTGTTTTGAGGTACTGCTGGATCTGGCGATGTATGGTAAATCCGCAAAGTTTTGTCCATGATGTCCTGGATATTCCCCTCTTCCTCCATTTTAATCAATGCTCGCTTAAACGTATCGGCAAAACGTTCCGCCTGCCAGTTTGATTGTGGATGGTACGCTGAAGTGCGTATGTGTTCGATGCTACTTTGAGTTGCAAAAGTCCGTAAACTCATGAGAAGTGAATTGAGAATCATTGTCCGGAACAATCGTTTGGGGGATACCAAATTCTGAGAAAAGATGGCGTAGGTGTAATAAAACAGCGGAAGTGGTTGCGTAACTCATTTGAAAAATTTCGAGCCACTTTGAGTAAGCATGGACAATTACCAGATAGTGAAATCCTTCCAGAGATCCATTAAAAACAATAGAAATGCGAGACAATGGTCCACTTGGGGTTTGCCAAAAATGAAACTCACAATCGACGGGTAGTTTTGCTGCCATAGCACAACTATTACAAAAACGAACAACACTTTAAATATCCTGATCCATGAATAGCCAGTAGAGATAGTTGTGCGCTACGGAATTCAAACAACTGATTCCCGGGCGACCTTTGTGGAATTGAGTAAGAACCTGCTTCTGCAGTCTTAGAGATCACAACTCGCTCAGTCTAAACCAAACAACCATCAATGGTGCTTAAGGCGAACATTCTTATCCGAAACTGCTCACCATATGTGGCTAAGCGGCGTGCAAGCCAACCAGCGCTAAGGTACCCAATAATATGTCGTAACAGGGGATCTCTTGCTGTTTCTGCTCAGAAGACGTCTGCCCAATCTCGGAGTCTAAGGTAATGCTCGATTTAACAATGCCTTCATCCGGTGTCTTGGAAGTGTAAGTAGCAGTCAGTCTAGATAATGCTTCAGCGTGACTAAATGACGACGTACTTTTAAAACGCAAATCGAAATCGCATACTATAGGGTGGTCGCTTAAGGTTGTAAGCGAATCGCCGTGTGAACAGGGATGCCTAGTTTGGTGCGAAAAATAGATACCAAAGATTTGTGGCATGTGTATAAAGTAAATTTACCTCAATGTATACTATCTTACGAAATTTATTAACCCCAAAAATAAGAGCTAGTCGCTCTTTCTCTAATAGAATGTGGTACTTTTTCTGCTGCTATCAACGCGGGGAGAACATGCATCGCCGCCTTTTGATGTACCCTTGGGAACTGATGCAGCAAGACACCACCGATACCATTTTGAGATGCCTCAGCGGCGATAACTATTGATAATATTGGGTCATAATGAGTCAAAAAGAGATAGGCCAATATTTGTGTAATGTCATCAGAAGCTTTTTGGCATTGCGATGATCAATGCCACGCTATGAATCTTTCCTCATCCAATTTCTTGATGTTCTGGCCGCCGCAGAGGATAATCAACGGTGCCCCATCTGCTGCATCGAGCAGGGTGGATAGGGTTTGGATGCTATTGTTCAAGCCTTTCTGTCTTCTTATGCCCCCTCTTACACTTTTTCACTCTCATCGTCCTGTTCCAACTTCATTTTTATCCCCCCCCCGTTTTCAACTCCATAAACCTTGGCCCTCCCACACCATGCTTTGGTAGGCGTTTATCTTCCAGTTTCAACTTAGATGCAAACGCGAAATGTTACTCTTTTCCTATCGAAGAGCGCATGCCTACCAAGCGGTTAAGCCCAGTTCATCGGCATCTATTTGGAGTCCCCGATCCTCTCTCAGATTGGCATGCTCCAATGTACGCATATTGTTACACATCGCACAATAGGCAGCACTTGTCCGAACATTAGAGACCCTCGCGATCTGCTGCCTATTGGAAACCCGCCCACAAGACCCAAGCTCTGTTCTCACTCTGCGATCCTGTTCAGGTGACACTAGCAGTGCTTTCTCACTGCGCCTATCCGGAGAGGATGCAGCTTCCAGTACAAGCCAAGCCGGCGTTGGTATTGCCCTGAGTGCTCTGTTTGACTGGATCCCAATCGGTAGCTGGATGTGTGCTGTCCGACTGGCTGGCTCCTTCAAAGCTTCTAAGTCGCGCGGGGCTAACAGGTGTCTGTTTGTCATCTCCGTCTACGCCCCCATAAACTGTAGCGATGACTCAGGAAAAGACGATTTTCTTCGTTAATTTAACGATCTCATTCTCCATAGAAGAAGCACCTACATTGTAGTGCTGGCTGGGGATCTGAACACTCAAGATGGGAAATTGTCCACTGATGAAGCTGCATCTAAGCGGCCAACATGATAACGGTAAGCGGTTACTTCACCTGTCCAAATAGCGAACAGATCTCTTTTCGATTATTCTCACTTGTGTGCAGATGCTCGCCTATTTCTCGCAAACACCAACTTCCGACACAGCAACTGCCGGAGGGTGACATGACGCTCACCAGCCTCCAACCAGCCATGGATGCAAATCGATCAGATCGCGATCAGTTCTCACTGGAGAGGCTGCGTCCAAAACTGTAACTCGATATGGAGAACAAGTGTAAACACTGACCATGCACTTGTATGTGCTGATCTGCGGTTGCGTTTTGGCGGTCCCCCTCGAAGTCCTTGTGAGCGCATTGAGACCAGTCATCTGGCGAAGCCAGCTATTCTGTATGCGGTATCGAAATACGCTGACATGCAGGTTGAGTAAGCGCTCACTGGAGACAATTGAACGTCACTGGTCGCATGTTCATCAGAGCTTACTAGCAGCAGGTAAATCTTCATGTAATAAGTCAAATAGCGAACATGGACATTGGGTCTCTTCGCGGTCTCTGGAACTTATCAATGCTCGGTGGCATATTCCGGCTGGAAGCGAACACAAAGAAACTCGCAAAGAGCTCCGGACAAAACTCCGTGCTAGCCTGAAGAGAGACCGCGAATCCTGGTGGTCTTATCTTACGACAGAGATAGAAGTGGTCGCTGCCCATGGTAACCATCGGAAGTTGTTCCGTCTGATACGAGAAACAGGCAGCAAGGGACCAGGTGTCAATGAAACAATTTAGGACGAGAAGGAACAACCTATCCACAACTTGTCAAAATGTTGGGAGTGCTGAGTCGAGCAATATGAAAAGTAATTTAACCGACCGGAATTGTCAGATTCCTCACCGATCAGTGTTCGCCCTGCTCCCTGGCCTGTTCCTTTGGATCCGCACCCTCACTCAAAAGTAGAGCGTGAGATCGGACTGTTAAAGTTTGATAAAGCCGCGGGACAAGATGACCTTCCTCCATCCCTCCTTCCAATTCGGGGGTCCTGTTTTT